TGGGGCTTAGCGTCCCCGCGGCCCGGTCCTCGACCAGGCCTCCTCCTTTTTGTTACACATGCCCAGGAAGCAGTCCCTTAGCAGCTGTCTAACTCCCAAGTACCTACTTACTGCTAGCTGAACAGGAACATCAGGGTGAAAGAAACTTTGCCGACCACACACTAAAAGGCGAAGGAACGACGACGTTTTGGTCCGTCCTGGACCATTCTCAAGTCGATTGTGTACAATCGACGTTTCGATCCAGGACGGATCGAAACGTCGTCGTCCCTTCACCTTCTAGTGTGTGGTCTGGTCAACATACTTTAGCCACGTTATTGTGACTCATCGCCTGCAAACTGCCCATTTGTTTCCGCCTCCGCCGGGGATCGAACCCGGAACCTTAGAACTATGAATCCCGAGCGCTGTCCACTCAGCCGTCAGGGCCCCAAGTAGTCCGTATCCAAATAACACAGTGCCTCAAGGGCCTGCGCAGGAATAGCAAAGTGCCACAAGGGGCGCATCACAATAGCGCAGTACCTCATGACTCGTCCTATCACCCAATGCGTCACATTTTTTAACGGACTCTACCAATGCGTTATAAATACGACGCATTACTAAAAATTAAAAGTAGGTTGCTTTCATTCCTACGTTTCTGGTTAGGTAAAACAATTGCATTTTCAGCGAGTGGCAGCCGGGAACAATTAACGTGCAGGTTTCCTCCAAGTTTTCCTGGTATGCGAGATGCGAGGCGCTAGTGTTATCCTCCATTCGCTCGGTAGGAAGACGTTCAAATTAACGGGCTCATTATTTACCTGCATATACCTGAAGGCCACCATCTCTAGTGGCCTTGGCGGGGACAGGAATCTGTTGGTCCTTTCATGAATACATCTTCTCCAGAAGACTTCCAGTTACTGATTATCGCCTTGCAGCTGAAAGCCTTGCCATTACTTAGTTTTCGTATTAAAACCGAAAATTCTTGCCGATAAAATATGTCACTCCGAGAGTTGAGGTCCATGGTGTGGGTGGTGGTGGTAGTGATGGGCACGGTGTTGGGTGTACGGTGTCTGGTGTTAAGCTACATTGACGTGGACGTTCGGCCTGTAACCTACGGTGAACCGCCACGTAACTCCCCGCACAAACATCATCAATCATGTAGATCGCTGTTTACAATTACAGACGCGTTTCAGTATAAACACAAAGTAAATAATTCCAGTGAAACAGGCGGCCTGGGTTCGCTAAGTGAAGGCTGGGGAACGAGTGAGGAGCCTTTACGTATTAATTCCGAAACCGTTGGGAGAGTGCGACGCCTCGTGCGGAAGCGAGAGTCCCCTTCAGGAGCGTCGACTCCTGACTATTATTCCATCGCCAGACTCCTCCCCAAGTTGCTATTCCTAGGACAACCTGATCCCAACACTGATGCAGGTAGTACAGGTGAAATAGAACGACAAACACCCATAAGAGAAGAAAGAAGAAAAAAACGACGACCTCCATATTTCCTGCGAAGAAGTAGAATTACTGGAGGAGTCCTGCCACATGTTTCCTGTCGAATAGCGTTGTATGAGCGGCCCTCCATCTTCGCCGCCTGCATCAGGAAGAGGGTGGAGAGGAAGCCCAAACTGTGGCTGCACTTCATGGGCGACTCCAAGATCAGGATGTTATTCGACAACGTGCTCAACAGGACGGACTCAGTGTACCATTATATGGTCAAACATCATGTGAGTTAGTTGTACGCACGCGCGCGCGCACACACACACTTCTTTAGGAAATTATGTTTGGACCAGACTCCATACACAGTTTCAAGTGTAGATATGATAGAGCCCAATAGGCTCAGGAACCTGTAGATCATTTGATTGACAGTTGAGAGGCGGGACCAAAGAGCCAGAGCTCAACCCCCGCAAGCACAACTAGACAAGTACAACTAGGTAACTAGGTAAGTACACACAGAATAGATTGGTCAGAAAAGCGGGTTCCAAGAGCAAACAGCTCGATTCTGCAGACACAAATAATAAATACGCACACGCACACACGACACTGGAAGACAAAAAGAGTAAGGGGAGACATGATCACTACCTACAAAATCCTCAAGGGTTGAAAGGGTTGACAAAGACAAACTCTTCAGCACGAGTGGAACACGAACAAAGGGACACAGGTGGAAACGTAGTACCCAGATGAGCCACAGACACATTAGAAAGAATTTTTTCAGTGCCAGAGTAGTTAATAAATGGAATGCACTAGGAAGTGATGTGGTGGAGGCTGACTCCATACACAGTTTCAAATGTAGATATGATAGAGCCCAGTAAGCTCAGGAACCTGTACACCAGTTGACTGACGGTTGAGAGACGGGACCAAAGAGCCAGAGCTCAACCCCCGCAAGCACAATTAGGTGAGTCTCGGGCAGGTCCTTAAAAATAACATATCAGGTAAGATGAAAAAGGTACAGTGTAGCAAGGTTTTATGTCACCGAATAACTGCAACATAAGTTGACAGAGGTGATTACACTGGTAAGGATATATGTCTTAAGTACTAATATTGGGGAAGTGGGTAGTACAAAATACCACCATGTGAGTTTGAAGCACAAAGTAGGAAACTATGAGGATGAAATTAGGTACTTTTTGGGTTTACTTTTGAATATGGCATGGGTTGGACAATTATTTAATTCATCAGGGAGTGAGTTCTAAAGACTGGGCCCTTTTATTTGCATGGAATTTTTGCACAGATTTAGTCTGACTCTGGGGATATCAAAGAGATATATATTTCTGGTGTGGTGCTCATGGGTTCTATTACACCTATCAAGGAAAAGTTTCAGATCAAGATTTTCATTTAGGAACAAGGTTTTGTACATGTAAATAGCACACGGAAATGTATGGAGTGTATGTTTAGCATGTAAAAGGACTTAAACAGAGGGGTTGTGTGTTGTCTGAAGACAGAGTTCGTTATAGTTCTGATACCAGATTTTTATTGAGTGATAATAGGCTTGATGTAATTTGCAGTGGTTGAACCCCATGCACAGATACTGTATGTGAGATAGGGATAGATCAGTGCGTAGTATAATGAGAGGAGAGCAGAGTGGGGAACATAATATCTGATTTTAGAAAGTGTACTGACCGTTTTTGATACTTTTTTAGCTAGGTGGTTATGTGAGTGCTGAAGTTCAGTCTCTTGTCTATGTATCGGCCAAGGAACGTCCCCTCATTTTTATTGCTAATGTTAACATTGTCTATCTGAAGATGAATCTGATTTGATGATTTTCTACCAAACTTTACTACCAAAAAGTTCAAGTTCAAGTAAGTTTATTGAGGAAAAAGACGTACATCTCAATATGATAGGGTAGCGTAGGCTATTTCTACCCCCGTCAATATAAGGTCCCTCAAGGGGCTCACAAACCCATACAGTATACATTTATTAATCATATTCTATATTTAACATTCCATTGGTAATCACGTGGCTAACTGTGAGATCTCTTATTGATTATGCTGCCCTGTCTTGTCTAGTGTTGATAAACGCAGACAAAACAAGTTTGAGAAGGTATGCAGGCGATGAGTCACTATAACGTGGCTGAAGTATGTTGACCAGACCACACACTAGAAAGTGAAGGGACGACGACGTTTCGGTCCATCCTGGACCATTCTCAAGATTGATTGATTGATGAAGATTAAGCCACCCAAAAGGTGGCACGGGCATGAATAGCCCGTAAGTGGTGGCCCTTTTGAGCCATTACCAGTATCAAAAGATGATACTGGAGATCTGTGGAGGCGCAACTGCACCCTGCGTGACGGTAGATGTCTCCCGGACCAAATGGTGACCAAATGGTGAACCCATTCTCAAGCCGATTTGAGAAAGCAAATAATGAAGCCATGCGAATAATCCCTATGATTATAGCCCATCCCTTGGGCTAGCCTATGATTATAGCCCGTCCGTTGGTTGTTGTTATAGATTCAGCTACTCGGAACAGGTTCCAAGTAGCACGGGCTATGGTGAGCCCGTAACTTACCTGGCACAGGAGCGGGGCAAGTAGCACGGGGTATGGTGAGCCCGTAGTGGACTTACCAGGCACGGGAGTGGTGCCGTCTCTCTAGGAGGGTGGAGGGTGAAGGAGATGTCCGTTGGGTTATGAGAATAAGATTATTCTCATAACCCAAGATATACTATAACTGACATAATGATGATATGATTGAACTTACAGAGTATTGGGGATAGAATTTCAAAGATAAATGAAGCTTTAGCGATTAGATTAATGAGAGGCGATGGCGCTAATCCTCTCACTTCAAAAGGTAGGAAGAAATGAATAAAGAATGTGAAATCATAATAAGATCCTTATGTTCCAATGTTACAAAGCAAGATGTCCTTCAAGAATGTATTTCATTGCCAAATTAACAATTAACACCAACATGGGAGGAATACGAAGCAGATGCAGTCATTTTTTTCCTCTATGTTCCCAGATTCTTAACTTTGCTGCGGTTTGCCAGTTCATTGATCGTGTGTCTGATGCCGTCCTGTGCGGTCATAATGTAAGCGCTCCTGGATGTTGTGAATTTGTGCTCAACTGTTACAATGATACAGTGCCCTTGCGTGTCGAGGAAATGGCAGAGGTTTGCCTAAGTGATAGACAATCCTGCACTAGGCCCGAAGAGTATGAGAGTGAGGATGACAGACAAGATGATACCAGACCATACCAGGTAGCAATGACCAAAACGAAACGGCGAAATATTTACTGAGAGCTTAGTGACAGTGAAGATGAAATAAAAACACGACAGAAAAATTGCAATGATCGACGACAGGATAATCCAAGGATGCAAACTCTGAGATATTCTCAACAGGAAACAACCCTAACCAGCAGTTTGGCGAATATGAACCACTATAGAGAGAGAGAGAGAGAGAGAGAGAGAGAGAGAGAGAGAGAGAGAGAGAGAGAGAGAGAGAGAGAGAGAGAGAGAGAGAGAGAGAGAGAGAGAGAGAGAGAGAGAGAGAGAGAGAGAGAGAGAGAGAGAGAGAGAGAGAGAGAGAGAGAGAGAGAGAGAGAGAGAGAGAGAGAGAGAGAGAGAGAGAGAGAGAGAGAGAGAGAGAGAGAGAGAGAGAGAGAGAGAGAGAGAGAGAGAGAGAGAGTAATAATGAGTTAAACAACGTAATGATACCTCGTCATTTTGTAAAAATATTAAAGAGTTTTCCTGAACCGAGTGTCCTCGGCTCACAACCGACGAACCCGGGTTCAGTCCCACGGGTAGAAACGGTTGGGTACGTTTCCTTTCAACTGATGTCTCAGTTCACCTAGGAGTAAAACAGGTACCTAGGAGTTCAAGTACGTTAATTTAATTGATACAATAAAATACATCTTAAATGAATAGAGTAGCTTAGGTTATTTCTACTCCCCCACCCTCTACTTCAAGTCCCTCAAGGGGCTACCTTGAGGTTACCTTGAGGTGCTTCCGGGGCTTAGCGTCCCCGCGGCCCGGTCGTCGACCAGGCCTCCTGGTTGCTGGACTGGTCAACCAGGCTGTTGGACGTGGCTGCTCGCAGCCTGACGTACGAATCACAGCCTGGTTGATCAGGTAGCACAAATCCAGTGAGTACAAATTCATACCTAGGAATTAGGCAACTGTTGTGGTGTGCATCCTAAGGAACGTCAGTGCTTGACCTCGCTAAGCCTTTGTGCCACCAGTGGCGGGGAGTTTATTGTGCACCTCGCACTGATCCTGTGAGCGGTAGCGCAAAAAAAAATACAGAGGGCAAAAAATATCCGGTGAGGTCTTAATCAGACCTCACTGGATATTTTTACAGACACTTACAACTAGTCAACACAGCTTATAAGTACACTGACAGCTAGTACACTGACAGCTAGTTACAAACCTCCCTCACTGCAGCTACTATGTGTTAATAATGTATTATTAGCATACCTTGGAAATAGATCTTTTTTTGACAATAATACATATTTAAACACTTGTTTTAACAGTATATCAGAAGCGCTTTCGTTCATTCAGGTCGGCGTTCAATCCCCAACCGTCCAAGTGGATGGACACCATTCCCACCACACCCGTCCCATCCCAAATCCTTATTCTGATCACGTCGCGTCTGGGATTATCTCGGACGTACGTTCGAACCTTCATCACGGCCCTTGTGGATTTGTTCCTTATTCTGATCCCTTCCAATTACTATATTGTCGCAATGGCTTGGCGCTTTCTCTTGATAGTTCTCTTGCTCCATCCTCCACACCACCTAGGCGTGATCACTCCACCCTCCACAATAACACTCCACCCTCCACACTAACACTCCACCCTCCACCCACTTCAAGTTCAAGTACGTTTATTGAGACAATAAAATACATCTCGAAGCACACATCCAAACAATTTGATGTGGTACACTACTTGTTTCCTTATTTCTATAGTTATCAATAAGTTGACACTCTAATACATAATGTTCTAAGGTGTGGGCGTGCGGCATACTACAAATGATTGATAAAGATTAAGCTACCCAAGAGGTGGCACGGGCATGAATAGCCCGTAAGTGGTGGCTCTTTTCAGCCATTACCAGTATCAAGAGCTGATACTGGAGATGTGTGGAGGTGCGATTGCACCCTGCATGACGGGAGATGTCTCCCGTGGGCATACTACATAAATTACACTCATTACCTATTTCATTGACATCAACACAGTATTGCCAGAAATATTTTGTATCCTACTCTTAATCTCACGTAAATTGAAACCTTCCAAGTAGACTTTCCTCTACCATAAGTCCCTCTTTCCTCTACCTCCTGCCCGAAAAGCTGCGCGTACTATTGGCTTTACAAGAATGTAAATACTGTACTATCCAATGTATTCTCACAAACCCAATGTACCTTCTTGTATATATATAAATAAATAAATAAATAAATAAATAAATAAATAAATAAATAAATAAATAAATAGTGAAGGACGAATTTGTATTTATTACTGCATAATTCTTGTGTTACTGCTGTCCACCATTGGCATTCTCTTAACTTTTTCTTCCTCCTCTTGGATCATCTTGATTCTTGTCTTTATTTGTGGCAAAGTTGTTTGACATACAATATCGACAAGAGTTTTTCCGTGGCTCTCTTCGCTGTCTCATCAACTGCCTCATTCAACAGTATTCCCACATGTGAAGGGATCCACATGAATCTTACTTTATATCCATTTATTTTAATGTCTTAACATTCTCTCTACACTCAGTCACAATATTCTGGTATACTGGGCGTCTGCTATTTAAAGACTCCAACGCTCCTCTACTGTCTATAAAGAAGCAAGCATTTTTACCACATTTTTCCCACCACACACAGCCTGGTCACCATTTGGTCCGGGAGACATCTCCCGTCACGCAGGGTGCAGTCGCACCTCCACAGATCTCCAGTATCAGCTCCTGATACTGGTAATGGCTTAAAATGGCCACCACTTACGGGCTATTTATGCCCGTGCCACCTTTTGGGTTGCTTCATCTTCATCTTAACACATTCATAAGGGAGACATCTCCCGTCACGCAGGGTGCAGTCGCACCTCCACAGAGCTCCAGTATCAGCTCTTGATACTGGTAATGGCTTAAAAGGGCCACCACTTACGGGCTATTCATGCCCGTGCCACCTTTTGGGTGGCTTAATCTTCATCAATCAATCAATCGTTTTTTGCTCAGTTCTATTCACACGGGAGGCATCTCCCGTCACGCAGGGTGCAGTCGCACCTCCACAGATCTCCAGTATCAGCTCTTGATACTGGTAATGGCTCAAAAGGGCCACCACTTACGGGCTATTCATGCCCGTGCCACCTTTTGGGTGGCTTAATCTTTATCAATCAATCAATCTACCACATTTGGCTACTTCCTGTAATCCTGCTAATACACCTTGGAGTTCAGCCTGCGTTGAAGAGACATTGTCAGTTAAGCGGCGTCCAATAACAGTATCTACAGTGCCGATGTCAGTGTACTCCCTGATCAAGACTCCACATCCTGCCTTCCCATCCCTAGCTACTGACCCATCACAATATACATGTAGAGTGTTTTATGTAGGCAGTTTCCTAATTATACAGTCATATGTTGCCCTCAGCTATCCTATCGTATACATACTTTTTATTATTTTGCAGGAAGCCAATCACCACCTACAGGATATGGACGAGCCGTGGTCTGAGATGGTTAAGAGGTGGAACCACAGAGACATCCGCTACCGGGACATGGAGGTCACTACCCGGCTCCAACCCCAGCTGCTCCTCACATACAGGTCAGCCCTGCAGGTCACTCTTTACGCCTCCAGCAGGTCACCCCGCTGCAATTTGAATTTGAATAACCATCATATATGTTGAAATACACCCCCTCCCCCCCCCCCCCCTCACAGTTACAGCCCCGCTCCTGTGTCAGTAAGTCGACTACGGGCTCACCATTGCCCGGGGTACTTGCATCCTTTTGTTCTGAGTAGCTGCATCTAAAACAACAACAGCAACATGTAGCGACTATGTATGATGTATACTTATACTTTGATGTATACAGGCCCCTTGAGGGACTGTCTACAGGCTATTCATCCCCGTGCCACCTCTCGGGGTGGCTTAATCTTTATCAATCAATCAATAATGTACTGGCATTCTGCTACTTAATAACTCCAACGCATCTTTACTATCAATAAAAACGGGGCATCTTTACTACTTTTAACTACTTCTTTTAAACCCGCCAATAATGTACAACTTGAAGTTCAGCCTGTGAACTTTAAATATTAAAGCCTACAATACATTCTGCCTTTCCCTCTTTAAATTACTCAACCACCACAATAAACATGTAGAGTGTTCAATTTAGGTATTTTTCTAATTATACAAGTACACGTGGCCTTCAACTGTCCCTTCTTGCACATACTCTTACCCTTTGCAAGGGAACAATCACTATTAGAACATAGGAAATGTAGATGTTTATCTCTCAGAATGTTTGGTAATATGTTTATTGTTTGTGATGTGTTTATATGTATGTATTAACACGATGTACTGAACGGGGTGAGAATAGCTTGAGCTACCTCATCCCTTTGTGTGTATTTTACCTCAATAAACTTATTTCAATTTCAACCATCAGAACAAAGTTAATTGTTCTTAGGCAATGAAGTACATTATTGGAAGATATGTTTTGTAACATAATTTAATAAATATCTTATATTCCCTCTTATGTTACCTTAAAATACATTGTTCATTTCATCTCACCTTTTGAACTGAGTAGCTTAATTTAATACTCTTCCCCCCCCTCATTAGTCTATTACTGAAGCTGCATTTTATCTCAGCAACTTTAAGCCTAATACTTTATAAGTTCAATTCCATCCTTATTGTCTCAATCAAAGCATCTATTGGGCATCCTAAAATTATTGACATACTTCATTTTGTACCTTCACCAACTTGCTTAGCAAACACCCAGAAATGACAAGTGCAGTATAATGAACAAGGGATCTCACAGCACTCAAGATCAAGTTCGTTTATTGAGACAATAAAATACATCTCAAAGATATAGAGTAGCTTAGGCTATCTCTACCCCCCCCCTCCCTCCTTCTACTTCAGGCCCTCAAGGGGCGCACAAATCCATTGAGTACAAAGCCACAAATCACAGTACAATAATCCCATTTAACATTGTAATAGCAGTCAAGTGTATCATGCGTAGCACAGCTTCTTCCCCGCTCTTTTCCAAACACGCCAAGGCTTTCAACTTGGACTGGACGGTAGAGCAACGGTCTCGCTTCATGCAGGTCGGCGTTCAATCCCCGACCGTCCAAGGGATTAGACACCATTCTTTTCCCCCCGTCCCATCCCAAATCCTTATTCTGAGCCCTTCCAAGTACTGTATAGTGGTAATGGCTTGGCGCTTTTCCCCCGATAATTCCCATCCCTTGCCACATTGACCCAACACACGCTTCAACTCAGCCTCCAGGAATTCTCACCTGTATACCCAATATAAGCCGTATATAATTATTGCATTTTAATTGTATTCTAGATTTTCCCCGACTTCTGCATTCAAACTGAATCTTGTCTTCATTAACCTCAAGTCCCATACGGCGACTCTCGGATGCTATCCTTCTTCCTTAGTACATTAAAGAGGGTGGGACTTAACACTCCTCTCTCTAAGATGTGCCGAGCTTGTCACCTTACAGCCGACAAGCAGCCTTGATACCCCACCGGAGCCATTCTGTGCTGAAGATAATCACCTACCCAGCCACCTACTGGGGGGGGGTATCACCTACTGGTCACCTACCCAGTATAACAATCGCCCTTCAACGCCTGACTACCTAGTTCATACAAGATGACTTTTATGTTCGCCTTATTAAACGCTGCTTGTAGGCAAATAAACACTCAATAGTAATACATTTTCATACTCTAGCAGTGAGATAACTCTTTGATTGATTGATTGATTGATGAAGATTAAGCCACCCAAGAGGTGGCACGGGCATGAATAGCCTGCAAACACTAACCCTCCTTCAGTACTGATATATATACTCCTCCAGCAGTGATATGCCCCACCTCTGGCAGTGATAGCTCTCCTTTACATGCTATTCATGCCCGTGCCACCTCTTGAGTAGCTTAATCTTCATCAATCGATATCTCCTCCAGCAATGATATCTCTCTAGTAATGATATTCCTCCAGTATTGATATTCCTCCAGTATTGATATTCCTCCAGTATTGATATCCCTCCAGCAATGATATCTCTCCAGCAATTATATTCCTCCAGCTATGATATCCCTCCTTCAGCAGTGATATTCCTCCTCAAGAAGTGATATCCCCTCCCCTCCTACTACAGTAATATCTCAATATTGAAATTGGTGTTCAGTTTCAGAGACTTCAACCAGCCACACTGGGCCTACTATGACCAGACCAAAGAGCTGCAGGAGCTGGACGCCTGGGCCTCTGGGAGCGCTCCCGTGCCTGACCTCCTGGTCCTTGGTGAGTCTTCCCTTCAAGTGCAGGCGAGGAGTCACAATAACGTGGCTGAAGTATGTTGACCAGACCACACACTAGAAGGTGAAGGGACGACGACGTTTCGGTCCGTCCTGGACCGAACTTGACGACGAACGTACTTGAGAATGGTCCAGGACTGACCGAAACGTCGTCGTCCCTTCACCTTCTAGTGTGTGGTCTGGTCAACAATCTTCCCTTCAAGTTTAAATTCCAGTAAATTTATTGAGATAATAAATTACATCTCGGACGAGCCCGTCCTTCTGTTATGGTAGTACTGATAGTAACGATGAGGATCATAGTACATATCGCTACGTACAACGCATTTAGAAAGTAGAAATCTGTACTTGTGTATTTAGATAAACCGGAAAAGATTGTGTATTTATGTTGCAAAGACATCCTTAACTAACCTAACGGTCCTAACCTTACCTTCCTAGGCCTAATTCACGATATCTGAGGCCTAATATAGTACATATGTGTGCTATAGTAGGACTAGGAATATTTAAGTTTGTTTTAGCTTAATTTTTTCGGACTATAAAGTTAATAGTACAAAATTATACTAATTACTAAGTACGTCAATCTTTCTACTATGGTGCACGTAGGTACAAAAACTACAATATAAACAGGAGGATGGTATAAAGTAGCTTAGGCTATTTCTACCCTCCTCTACTTTAGATCCCTCAAGGGGGATCACAAATCCATAATGTACACAAATCATACTTTACATTTCACATTCCAATAGTCAACAATACAGCATCAATACTCCTCAACCACTGATATAGTTCTCCATTGATATAGCTCCTCCGCAGCATCAGTGTTTCTCCTCCTCCAGGATACGGCTCGTGGTTGATGCAGATAACTGAGTTAACAATGAGAGACTCCCAGAACTTCCCACACGACATCCTCGACTTGCTTCTGACGATGCACCAGAAGGTCGTCCCGCTGCTGGAGAAGGTCTGTCTTCCTTAGTCTTTATATGAGTCTTTATACTGTCGGTCTCTCTTAGTCTCTGTATCCTCCCCCCTCCCCATTTCCATCCTATTCCTTCCCCCCGTCTCATCCCAATTCTTTATCTTCTTCCCATCCAGGTGCTATATAGCACGGGCTGTAGTGAGCCTGTAGCACGGGAGACATCTCCCGTCACGCATGGTGCAGTCGCACCTCCACAGATCTCCAGTATCAGCTCTTGATACTGGTAATGGCTCAAAAGGGCCACCACTTACGGGCTATTCATGCCCGTGCCACCTCTTGGGTGGCTTAATCTTCATCATCATCATCTGAGCCTGTAGGCTTGGCGCTTACTCCTGATAATTCCCTTCCCCTTCCCACCCCTGACCACACATGAAGAATTTAAACATTAGTTTAAATTCTTGCTCTCAGGTCTACAAAATCGTATATCAACTACCCAAGTATGTGATTGATTAGGATTAGTATGATTTTGTTTACAAAACTATTTGGCGGGTCGTATTCCGGGAAAATTAGGATTAAGGACCTGCCCGTAACGCTATGCGTGCTAGTGGCTTTACAAGAATGTAAAAACTCTTGTGTATATAAATAAATAAATTTATATACGGTCATCCCATAATGTATACATATGTCCTTATGTGTACGCTAATTAAACTTGTAGAACAATACTTCAGCAACAAGCCGATACTGTTCTAAGCTGAGCTGGTTTAGAACGTCGACTCTGGAAAGCTGAATAGCTGGAGGCCTTGAAGTCAATTGGGTTACACCAAAAATGTATCCCCATGAGTAATACATTTTATCATGCCTTTTTCTTTCAGATTTCAGAAAGGTGTCGTGTGTTGGTCGTGCCGCAGAGTCGCATGCGGCCTCACTCAGACTACAAGATGAACTTCCTTGCCGCCTTTAACCCAGCTTACTTTGACTGGTCGGAAAAGACCTTCCTGTACCTCCAGAGTCAGTACCGGACATCCTGGGGCTCAACAACTGCTCGCTCTGCTGCGGTCGCTGCTGCAAGTTATCGTGTCATTGAAGCTGCTCGTTCCCATGCGACTGCTGCTGCTCTATCTAGTTACTCTAATGGTCGTGACAATGGTACAGCCACTTCTCCTCCCTGGGGATCAAAAGACTCATCAGCACCACAAGAAACCAAACTTGCAGAAACAAAATGGCAAGATACTTCGGATCCCATGGCCGACATGGTCCAAACCGAGACCCAACCTCATATTACGGCTTCACCAAACTATCCAAAACCCCACAAACTCCCATACGTGACCACGACCCAGAGAGAGCTCTCAGGCGACTACCTCGACCACCTAGACCCTATCCAGACCTCCTCCTCGGGGTTGTGGTGGTGGGACTCTAGCCTCCCTCTCAATCTAGCAGCGATTCTAGAGTGTGATGAGCTGTACCAGCAAGGGTACACCTGGAGTGGGTTGTACGCCGACCCTCAGCTCCACTGCAGGGACGGCCAGCACCCTGATACACTCTCACTCTCCGACATGACCACCATGCTCATGAACCTTATGTGTAACTCCCTGCTACAACAACACGAACCCGCTTTGTGTTGTGGGTAGTGGCTTTGTGTTGTGGGTCGTGGCTTTGTGTTGTGGGTCGTGGCTTTGTGTTGTGGGTAGTGGCTTTGTGTTGTGGGTCGTGGCTTTGTGTTGTGGGTAGTGGCTTTGTGTTGTGGGTCGTGGCTTTGTGTTGTGGGTAGTGGCTTTGTGTTGTGGGTCGTGGCTTTGTGTTGTGGGTCGTGGCTTTGTGTTGTGGGTAGTGGCTTTGTGTTGTGGGTCGTGGCTTTGTGTTGTGGGTAGTGGCTTTGTGTTGTGGGTAGTGGCTTTGTGTTGTGGGTAGTGGCTTTGTGTTGTGGGTAGTGGCTTTGTGTTGTGGGTCGTGGCTTTGTGTTGTGGGTAGTGGCTTTGTGTTGTGGGTAGTGGCTTTGTGTTGTGGGTAGTGGCTTTGTGTTGTGGGTAGTGGCTTTGTGTTGTGGGTAGTGGCTTTGTGTTGTGGGTAGTGGCTTTGTGTTGTGGGTAGTGGCTTTGTGTTGTGGGTAGTGGCTTTGTGTTGTGGGTAGTGGCTTTGTGTTGTTGGTGGCGGGTTTGTGTTATGGGTAGTGGGTTTGAGCTGTGGGCAGTGGCTCTTGACAGGGGATTATCTCACGAAAGAAAGGCTCAGGTTTGATATCAAAGTTGTATGTCAGGTGTAAGATCTGTCGAGTTCGTCACGACTCAATGAGGAGTGTTAAGCCTACCCTGTTTAATATACTAGCAACTGTTTTGTGTATTTGTACTCGCTGGATTTGTACGCCCCTTGAGGGACTTTAAATAGACGATTGTAGAAATAGCCTAAGCTACTCTATCGCTTTGAGATGTATTTTATTGTTTCAATAAACGTACTTGAACTAGCAGCTTGCAAAAGCTATATTTTTCTGAGGTTTAAGTCTTTCAAAAATTACATTTTAGGCTGTAAGCCTAAAAAGGTATTCTTGAACTGTTGATACCCCACACTGAGATAATATTTGCAACACCTGCTGCTGTAACATCTAAAAGCAAGGAAGTTGGAAGCATTATTTTTAGGACATAGGATAATTTTTTCAGTGTAATCTATTAAGCCACATTTATATGTTGTAAAGTTTTAGTATTAAAGCGACTGTTTTGCCAGTACGACTCCTTAAATTAATACATTAACTTTAACGTTAATTAATTAATTAACTAACTTTAATTAATACATTAACCTACTCTTAATCTCATGTAAATTGAAACCTTCCAAGTAGAATTTCCTTTACAAAAAGTGAAGGACGAATTTGTATTTATTATTGCATAATTCTTGTGTTACTGCTGTCCACCATTGGCATTCTCTTAACTTTTTCTTCATCCTCTTGGAACATCTTGATTCTTGTCTTTATTTGTTTCAAAGTTGTTTGACATACAACATCGACAAGAGTATTTTCCGAGGCTCTCTTCGCTGTCTCATCAACTACCTCATTCAACAGTATTCCCACATGTGAAGGGATCCACATGAATCTTATACACATTTTTTCTAATGTCTAAACATTCTCTCTACACTCGATCACAATATTCTGGTATACTGGTCGTCTGCTATTTAAAGACTCCTTTATTGACTCAGGCTCCTTTATTGTTCATAAAGAAACAGGCATGTTTACAACATTTGACTTCCTGTAATCCTGGTTACAAGTATCTCTGGGAATTCTCATTATCTGCCGATGTAGATCTGACTAAATGTAAACTGTGTCAACAAAATTATTCGCACACCCTCCGTCACTATGTGAATGAGTACGAAAAGATACGTGAATTCAGACTCTATTCTATAACCAATGTTCCAACGATGTGTAAATATTTCATTCAAAATGATCTGCTACCAGAAATTTTAGCCAAATATCCCCAGTTTGCTAACTGTAGGTAGTAACTGAGTGATTGTAACCTATCCACCGCTGCCCACTGGATGAGAGGCGGTGTGCAGGACCAACCTATAAATTGTGACACTAGCTCTCCACCAACCCGTCCTCGACTCAAGTCCATTACATTCAGCGGTCGACCCCACAGACGCATTCATAAATTTTAACATGCTGTTCATTCAAAACGGGAATTTTCTCAAGTATAAATTAATACCATAATATATTAGCATATTGTGCATATATAGGCATAGATTAGGTTAGGTTAGGTGTTTAGGTTCTGTTGGCGATTATTTGTATTTGTAGTACGTGGGTGAAGCATTTACAGCGTTGTGGTTCGAACAAAATTCGTCAGTGAAGCACTTGTTCTGGATATGTTCGAACGTCAGCAGTTGTGAGTCGTGTGTAAACCGCTTTTCATTCATAAACAGGGGGTTTGGCGGGTGCATGGATTCACTTTTGGATCTTTGTTTGGAGGACGGGCTGCTCTCCACATATGTCAGTTGCTTAATTTAGGAACTGTACTTGTGGTCGATCTCGAACCCATTGTTGATGTGACGACTTATACTAAATTTTGTAACTAGCTCATCAAGATTGTAACTCGCTTAGCTAAATGAATTGTGGGGTTCAGTCCCTGAGCCCATTATGTGCCTCTGTAACCCTTTCCACTACCGCCCACAAGATGGGTATGCGGTGCATAATAAATGAACTAAACTAAACTCTAATCCTGCCAATACACCTTGGAGTTCAGCCTGCGTTGAAGACACATTATCAGTTAAGCGTAACAGCTGTTGTTGTTGTTTTAGATTCAGCTACTCGGAACAAAAGTTCCAAGTAGCACGGGCTATGCGCCCGGAGTGAACTTACCTGGCACAGGATCGGGCAGCCCGTCCTCCAAACAAAGATCAAAAAGTGATTCCATCCACCCACCAAACCCCCTGTTTATGAATGAAAAGCGGTTTACACACGACTCACAACTGCTGACGTTCGAACATATCCGGAACAAGTGCTTCACTGACGAATTTTGTTCGAACCACAACGCTGTAAATGCTTCACCTACGTACTACAAATACAAATAATCGCCAACAGAACCTAAACACCTAACCTAACCTAATCATTGCCTATATATGCACAATATGCTAATATATTATGGTATTAATTTATACTTGAGAATATTCCCGTTTTGAATGAACAGCATATTAAAATTTATGAATGCGTCTGTGGGGTCGACCGCTGGATGTAATGGACTTGAGTCGAGGACGGGTTGGATCGGGGCTGTTTTTCCACCCGCGTAACAGCTGTTTACAGTTTGATTATATGTAATTATACTTTTGCCCCGGGGATAATGTCATGTTAAGTAGCTTACCTCAGTCACATGTTAAGTAGCTTACCTCAGTAACCTTAGGGACTACCCTAAGAGATTACTTGGAGGGTGATTAGTGGAGATTAAGTGACTCGGGGTAATGGTCGTTATATTCAAACCGGCTATAAAAGTCGCAAGGTGTAGAGGTCTCACTTATTTAGTTGCCAGCCGTGGTGCGAGAACGTCGCTGCTCCGCAAGTGTGTTGTAGTGAAGCTTCGCCTGGATACTCAGAGAGTATAACCATAACCAACCCTCATCAAGGCCCCTTGTGGATATTGCTGCTCTTAAGGTAATATTACTGACCCGTCCAGACATTACTGACCCGTCCAGACATTACTGACCCGTCCAGACATTACTGACCCGTCCAGACATTACTGACCCGTCCAGACTTTTCTTGCCCGTCCAGACTTTTCTTGCCCGTCCAGACTTTTCTTGCCCGTCCAGACTTTTCTTGCCCGTCCAGACTTTTCTGGCCCGTCCAGACTTTTCTGGCCCGTCCAGACTTTTCTGGCCCGTCCAGACTTTTCTTGCCCGTCCAGACTTTTCTGGCCCGTCCAGACTTTTCTGGCCCGTCCAGACTTTTCTGGCCCGTCCAGACACAATCTGGCCCGTCTAGACGTTACTAACCTGTCTGGACATTACGTTATATATACGAGGCAACTCTTATATATAAGAACATAACAAAGGCAACTGCAGAAGGCCTATTGGCCCATACGAGGCAGCTCCTATTTATAACCACCCAATCCCACTCATATACATGTCCAACCCATGCTTGAAACAATCGAGGGACCCCACCTCCACAATGTTACGCGGCAATTGGTTCCACAAATCAACAACCCTGTTACTGAACCAGTATTTACCCAAGTCTTTCCTAAATCTAAACTTAGCCAATTTATTCCCATTGTCTCTGTTGTTTATAATATATATAAATGATTTAGATTCAGGTTTGAGTAGCAACATTTGCAAATTTGCCGATGATACGAAAATCGGTAGGGAAATTAATTCGGAGGAGGACTCACTATCACTTCAAGTTGATCTAGATAGGGTTTTGAAATGGTCAAAGGATTGGCAGATGCAGTTTAATGCTGATAAATGTAAAGTTCTGAGGTTAGGTAATGATGATAGTTACAAGATACGAGCTAGATGGTGTTGTGATTGCGAAGTCGGATTGCGAAAGGGATCTGGGAGTTATGATTAGTAAGAATTTAAAACAAAAGGATCAATGCATAAATGTTCGTAATAAGGCAAATCGGACACTTGGATTTATTAATCGCAGCGTTAGTAACAAGACACCTGGTGTGGTTCTCAAGCTATATCTTGCTCTAGTTAGGCCCCATTTAGATTATGCAGTTCAGTTTTGGTCGCCATATTATAGAATGGATATAAATTCACTTGAACGTGTCCAGCGTAGGATGACTAAGTTAATTCCCCAAATTAGAAATCTTTCATATGAAGAAAGATTAACAAAGCTTAAGTTGCATTCACTGGAAAGGCGAAGAGTTAGGGGTGACATGATAGAGGTTTACAAGTGGATGAATGGACATAACCGGGGGGATATTAATAGGGTATTAAAAGTATCAACACAGGACAGAACACGAAACAATGGGTATAAATTGGATAAGTTTAGATTTAGGAAAGACTTGGGTAAATACTGGTTCAGTAACAGGGTTGTTGATTTGTGGAACCAATTGCCGCGTAACATTGTGGAGGTGGGGTCCCTCGATTGTTTCAAGCACGGGTTGGACAAGTATATGAGTGGGATTGGGTGGTTATAGAATAGGAGCTGCCTCGTATGGGCCAATAGGCCTTCTGCAGTTACCTTTGTTCTTATGTTCTTCTTCTTATGTTCTTATGTTGCGACTCAATTATTAATTTATGTTTTTCAAGATGAAGACGAATTTTATTTGCTATTATAGATTCGAGTAACTTTCCCACAATAGACGTTAGGCTAATTGGTCGATAGTTAGATCACTTGCGTCTATCTCCTTTCTTAAAAACTGGTATCACATTAGCAACTTTCCAAAACTCTGGCACTCTGCCTGACTCTATCGATTTATTAAAATTGGTTGACAGTGGGTCACAAAGCTCCTCTTTGCATTCTTTAAGCACCCTAGCAAACACTTCATCCGGCCCTGGGGATTTGTTTGGTTTGAGTTTTACTATTTGTTTAAGAACATCCTCCCTGGTAACTGCTAAACTCGTCAACCTGTCCTCGTCCCCACCCACATGGACTTGTTCGGCTGAAGGCATATTGTTAAGTTCCTCTTTAGTAAATACAGATACAAAATATTTATTAAAAATACTAATCTCTTCAACACTATCTGTTATTTGACCTGTCTCAGTTTTTAATGGACCTATCCTTTCCCTAGTCTTAGTACGATATAACTGAAAAAACCCTTTAGGATTTGTCTTTGCTTGCCCTGCTATGCGAACTTCATAGTTTCTTTTTGCTTTCCTTATCTCTTTTTTAACATTTCTAACCAGTTGTACGAATTCCTGTTCTAAAGTGACCTCCCCATTTTTAATCCTTTTGTACCAAGCTCTCTTTTTACCTATAAGGTTCTTCAAATTCTTTGTTATCCACTTTGGGTCATTAGTATACGATCTATTCAATTTGTATGGTATACTACGTTCCTGTGCTTTGTTTAGAATATTCTTAAATAAGTTATATATTGAATCCACATCGAAATCCCCATTTAAGTCACCTATCGCTGGGTTCATGTCTCGCTCCAAGACCGGCCCACACCCCATACCCAAGCCTTTCCAATCAATTTGACCCAAAAAATTTCTTAGGCTATTAAAATCAGCTTTTCGAAAATCTGGCACTTTAACAGAATTTTCTCCTACTGGTCTATTCCATTCTATGCTAAATCTGATTTCTTTGTGATCACTGCTCCCTAGCTCACTCCCTATTTCGATGTCATTAATTTGCGTTTCCCTGTTAGTTAACACTAAATCTAAAATATTATTTTCCCGTGTTGGTTCCTTAATGTGTTGCGTAAGAAAGCAATCGTCAATTAATTCTAGAAAATCTTCTGCTTCACTATTCCCTGTTTTGTTCAACCAGTTTATTCCGCTAAAATTAAAGTCACCCATGACATAAATACTGTTAGATCTAGATGCTCTAGATATTTCATCCCATAGATGCTTTGCTTCCATTCTGTCTAAATTTGGTGGCCTATATATTACTCCTATTATAATATTATTAGCTTTTTCGTTTAATTCAATCCAAATAGTTTCTGTGTGTGGCTCTGTTTTGATTCCCTCTTTGAGACTACATTTCAAATTGTCCCTAACATATATGGCTACTCCACCTCCTCGTCTAATATATCTATCTGTGTGAAATAGTTTAAATCCATATATTTGATATTCAGCTAATAGTTCTCTATTTTCTACATTCATCCACGTTTCGGTAAGTGCAATAATATCTATTTTTTCTGTGCAGACAAGAGCATTTAATTCGTTAATTTTATTTCTTAGACTTCTACTGTTAGTGTAATATACCCTAAGTGAATTGTTATTTTGCGGACCTTCTCTTTCCCTGATCGTTTTGCCAATTCCTTTCTCCCACAAACACATACTTTTATTACCTCCTTCCTCCAAATCAATTCCCATACCTCTATCTACTAACAGTTTAAACCCAAACAAACACCTCTAACCACTCTAACATGGTTTTATAAATGGCCGTTCATGTTTAACAAATTTGTTATCTTTTTATTCTAGCATTGTTGAGGCAGTTGATAGTGGTAAGGATTGCGATGTTGTATACCTTGACTTTAGCAAAGCTTTTGATACAGTGCCACATGAAAGACTGATTAAAAAAATAGTCTCATGGTATTGGGGGTGCTATATTAAGCTGGATTAGGGCATGGCTATACCAAAGGAAACAGAGAGTTAGTATAAATGGAATCAAGTCAGAGTGGGAAAATGTTGTAAGTGGAGTGCCTCAAGGCTCTGTCCTGGGACCTCTGTTGTTTATAATATATATAAATGATTTAGATTCAGGTTTGAGTAGCAACATTTGCAAATTTGCCGATGATACGAAAATCGGTAGGGAAATTAATTCGGAGGAGGACTCACTATCACTTCAAGTTGATCTAGATAGGGTTTTGAAATGGTCAAAGGATTGGCAGATGCAGTTTAATGCTGATAAATGTAAAGTTCTGAGGTTAGGTAATGATGATAGAGTTACAAGATACGAGCTAGATGGTGTTGTGATTGCGAAGTCGGATTGCGAAAGGGATCTGGGAGTTATGATTAGTAAGAATTTAAAACAAAAGGATCAATGCATAAATGTTCGTAATAAGGCAAATCGGACACTTGGATTTATTAATCGCAGCGTTAGTAACAAGACACCTGGTGTGGTTCTCAAGCTATATCTTGCTCTAGTTAGGCCCCATTTAGATTATGCAGTTCAGTTTTGGTCGCCATATTATAGAATGGATATAAATTCACTTGAACGTGTCCAGCGTAGGATGACTAAGTTAATTCCCCAAATTAGAAATCTTTCATATGAAGAAAGATTAACAAAGCTTAAGTTGCATTCACTGGAAAGGCGAAGAGTTAGGGGTGACATGATAGAGGTTTACAAGTGGATGAATGGACATAACCGGGGGGATATTAATAGGGTATTAAAAGTATCAACACAGGACAGAACACGAAACAATGGATATAAATTGGATAAGTTTAGATTTAGGAAAGACTTGGGTAAATACTGGTTCAGTAACAGGGTTGTTGATTTGTGGAACCAATTGCCGCGTAACATTGTGGAGGTGGGGTCCCTCGATTGTTTCAAGCACGGGTTGGACAAGTATATGAGTGGGATTGGGTGGTTATAGAATAGGAGCTGCCTCGTATGGGCCAATAGGCCTTCTGCAGTTACCTTTGTTCTTATGTTCTTATTTATTTATTAAATATGGTAGACAGTGGGTCACAAAGCTGCTCCTTTGCATTCTTTAAGCACCCTGGCAAACACTTCATCCAGCCCTGGGGATTTGTTTGGTTTGAGTTTTACTATTTGTTTAAGAACATCCTCCCTGGTAACTGTTAAACTCGTCAACCTGTCCTCGTCCCCACCCACATAGACTTGTTCGGCTGAAAGCATATTGTTAAGTTCCTCTTTAGTAAATACAGATACAAAATATTTATTAAAAATACTACTCGTCTCTTCATCACTATCTGTTATTTGACCTGTCTCGGTTTTTAATGGACCTATCCTTTCCCTAGTCTTAGTACGATATAACTGAAAAAAACCTTTAGGATTTGTCTTTGCTTGCCCTGCTATACGAACTTCATAGTTTCTTTTTGCTTTCCTTATCTCTTTTTTAACATGTCTAACCAGTTGTACGAATTCCTGTTCTAAAGTGACCTCCCCATTTTTAATCCTTTTGTACCAAGCTCTTTTTACCTATAAGGTTCTTCAAATTCTTTGTTATCCACTTTGGGTCATTAGTGCTTTGTTAATCTTTCTTCATATGAAAGATTTCTAATTTGGGGAATTAACTTTGTCATCCTGCGCTGGACGCGTTCAAGTGAATTTATATCCATTCTATAGTACGGCGACCAAAACTGAACTGCATAACCTAAATGGGGCCTAACCAGAGCAAGATATAGCTGAAGAACCACACCAGGTGTCTTGTTACTAACGCTTCGATTAATAAATCTCAGTGTTTTATTTGCCTTATTACGAACATTAACGCATTGATCCTTTGGTTTTAAATTCTTACTAATCACAACTCCCAGATCCCTTTCGCAATCCGACTTCACAATCTCAACACCATCTAGCTCGTAACTTGTAACTCTTATTACCTAACCTCAGAACTTTACATTACTAGTATGAGTTGTGGGGTCGACAGTGCGAGCACACGTAGGTGAGTACACAACTGGGAGTGTACCAATGTGTAAGGTGAGGTCCCGGCTGTGTACTGGTCTACATGGTCGAATATCAACTCCTAAAGCCCCGCCTCCGGAGCCAGTCTGTAATTTAAATGTTCTTTAATTTTTTAATGTCCGTAGGCTTTGGCTGTATTGATTTATTAGTTTTTGTTTTATTAGTAATTTGTTTTTCTTTTTTAGAGTTCATCTTTGTCGGTTGTCTAGAACATCTAAAAAAAAATGGAGGTAGTGCAAAGCTCAGCTGAGGTGATGTACACTCTCACCGTTCCCCAGTTCTCCTACCAGGAGCTCGGTGAAACCTTCACCACCGACTTCCAACTGTCTGTGAACGGTGTGCGAACCAGCTGGCAGGCCACGCTCACACTCTTTATGAAAGAAAACGTGTATCCCAGCCAAGACCCCATGAACAATAACATTGGAATAGCGCTGGAGTGTATACAATGTAATATTAATCGTCCTGACTTCAAGGTGTATTGCCGTCTTCAAGGGAAAGATCGGCACGAGAAGAGGCTGGCACGATCTAGCGATGGTAGCTGGAAATGGCAGGGAATTCTCGTTTCCAGGATGACCCTGAACGTGTTTAAGCTCCTTAAAGACGACGTGCTGACAGCTCACCTACGCTTTGTGGTCGGTGAAAATGATGTGGCTAAAGGTCTGGATTCCCGGGAAGATCTAATTCTCCACTTAATGAAAATACAAAAGACAGGAGTGTACAGTGACATTGAAGTATTAACAAGTGATGGCATGAGGCTCCCAGCTCACTGTGCAATACTGAGTACCCGCTCGAACCTCCTGCAAAAGTTTCAGTCTGCGATAGAGACTCGTGAATGCGAAAATGCCAGCACAATACCCCTTCCAGGTACGAGGACGCCTAGAGCTAAGACTTCCCTGACAAGAGCAGAGATTCCACTCGACAGTACCTTTGAAGGAGTAGCATCAAGACACCGTTCAGTAACCTCAATGTCGCCAGATTCTTCCAGCACCAAATGCGGGAAATCGCAGATCTCAAGACCTTCAACCATACACGCAAAGGTGATTTCATTGCCAACTATCACCGGCTCACCTGTTAGATGTCTTAATCCTAGTAGAACACCCAGCAAGCCTGGCATGACTCACAACAAACGCTGCCTAAATAACAGCACGATGTCTCCCAGCAAACTTCCGATTCCCAATACAACGCTTCCCAAAAAGGATCTTTTTTCTACAAGCCAACGTCTTTTGTCTCCCAGCCAACGTCTTTTGTCTCCCAGCCAACGTCTTTTGTCTCCCAGCCAACGTCTTTTGTCTCCCAGCCAACGTCTTTTGTCTCCCACCAAGCGTTCCCTGTCTCCCAGCACGCGCCCTCCTAGCAAGCGGTTCTTGACTCCAAGCAAACTTCTGACGAGCACCCCTAGTCCCTCCATTGCGGAGACAACTTGCAGGAGAATGCTCAGAGCTCCAGAAAAAAAACATGATCGAGAACCATCTGATACCTTTCACACGGAACCCCTTTCATCAGATCGTGGCATATGCTTCCCCGCTGGCGAGTCAAATACACCACTAAAGCAACTCGAAAATCGAAGTTTGAAAAGTCCCACCAAGAAAGCGTTTGTTAAAGTGAATATGTCGTCTTCCGTCACGCAGCAACTTCTGGAGTGGATTTACATAGGTAAGAAAAAAGTGTTTATGTAATTGTCATAATTAAAAAATATTATAATTTGCATAGTCTCTGTTTAAGGAATTGTTTACTGGAAGTATTGACTTTTCGTCAATATTGACAGCTTTAAAGTTAAGTTGAACCACCAACTTTACTCGCACAAATATAAAATTTCGCACCATTTAATTAATCTAATGTTGAGCGTTAAAAGTGGATTAGCCTAATGGTTAGGCGTTTGCTAGAAGTACTAAGATATGAGCTTAGCAGGTTCTTAGAATACGGATTGTATTTCTCTACTTTCATATTTGACGTTCTCCAAACTTATAATTTATCCCAGATTTTGACCAGATATCCCATATAATATTGGTCAAATTTTTGGAGTAATGCTGTGGGATTAAACTTGCTCCTTTGGTCATCCCAAATGCACCCAAGATACTATTGCCTCTTGGGTACATTCCATAATATTGCTCCAAATTTTGTCATGAGGGGAATGGTTCTATCTAAATTGCATCCTCATCGTATGGGGCAGTAGGCCCATTGTAGTGCTTCTTATTTCCAAAGTTTTTGTTCTGAATCATTGCAGGTGATTGCAGCGACCTGGGTCGTCTAGCACGACCACTGCTGGTAGCTGGTCTGCGTCACGAGGTGAACGACCTAGTGTGGGCGTGCGAGAACCACCTGGCGGCCGAACTCACGCCCACCACCGCCCCCGACATGCTGTTGCTGGCCCACAAATGCGGGTCTGTGAGGCTCCGCGAGGCTGCCCTCCAATATGCCCTCCAGCACGTGCGTATTGTCCCTCTTGTGCCCACATTCTCGCCACATCGTGGCTTTTCTTGACCATAGCCTAGCTTCGCGACTTGCATTTGTAGTGAATGTGTGTGAAAGTCCGCGTTCCTTTCGTCTAGTGATGCAAAGCTGAGTTCTGTACCCGTGGCCTAAACCTCGACTAGATGAAATAGACCTTCACACACTATATATTTAAATGGAATGATGAAGGACCAACGCCATCCTTCACCAGACTGACTACATTCCACACCGGGAATGGATTCCATTCCAGATAAACGACAAACTACATCCGAAACCTGGGACTAAGGTGTCGGATGGAGTTTGAATCGGTCCATACCTGGGACCGATTCCATCCCACATCAAATACCAAGGATGTAGATAATGTATCAATCTTTATATATCTACACACGTACATACTCTCACACAATGTCACGCTTAAATAATCTGTATTGACTACCAGGTCCTAGTTATTTTTAATCGGAAATTAGCGAGATGTTGAGTACTGTTTAATGTAGGCTGAAAGCAAAAGATGGATAACAGCAAAATGTATGATGCTAAATTATACTTGTAAATTTATATATAAATTATTTATATATATCTATAATGTTATAAATAAAAACAAAAAAGTGTTTTTGTTAACTTTCGATGAATGTTATAACATAAGGTAGACCTTACCTTTGTAGACGTGAAGAAGAGTAACTTAACCAGCCCATTTAGTTCGTCTTCCCAGTGTGTCACTTGGCAGCCCGAAACTGCAAAAAGCTCTAGTGAGACGTTTGGGTTAAATATTAGAAATTTGGAGGTTAAAGTCCAAGATTATAACACTAATTTTGCTACTGTTACTAATGCTATTAGTACTAATTACCCCCCCCCCCCCCGTCCTCAGACTCCAGTGTTTGGTGTAGGCTCTAAATCAATGGTTCTCAACTTTAATATTTTTTTTACCCAATGAACCCCCTTTATACTCTCGAATTTCATTCTCTTTTTCCAAGATTGTGCGACTCAAAAGTTGCATTCCAAATAATATACATAATATTGAAAGTCGTTGATTTTTCTATATTAGTGCATCACAGACCAGGGAACGCATCTGGTGAAGAACTGATCACTGCATATGCATTTATCTAAACTATTATGGAGTTTAACAAATTAAATAGCAAGAGAAAATGTTGATGGATCTTAAAAAACGTTCTCTTCAGGTTTTATCTTTATAACTAACAAGCTAAACTGAAGTACCGTCAATAAAGTGAAAGTTAAGTAAAATGCCAGGGTATTGTACTACAGTTTATTCAGATAAAGATTACAGTCGGAGAGAAACCCGTGACATTTTACTTCTCCAGTTCATGGATACGATAAGAAGTGTTTGGAAAGGCACAACGCAGGTTATTTTAAATGTTTCATTTTCACTTTCAACAGAGCTGAAGTCTTACTCAAGAAAGACACAAATGGAAGTAATGTACGGATAACTCTGCGAATTTTGGGCTTGCGTCGCGCGTTAAGGGCCGAAACTGTGACTGATCTCTCACCGAACATCGCTCTTGTTCCCGAATTAGTCTTCAGCTCCAGAAATTCATCTTTACAGTAAACAAGAACATTTTCAACTGACAATCTGAAGAATTTCGCACTAATTGCAATTTGTCACAATTCAGAAAAATATCGGACGAATTAATTTTGTAGTGCAAATTCCAGGAGTACTTTGTCATCAGCACCGGCAATATGAACTGATGACAGCCTCTCAAATATTGCAACTTTTTTTTTATCTTCTTCCAGTTTCCTATCTATCGGTATTTGCTTTTTCCAGTTTTTTTGGTCTATATACTATGTCCATCTGTGTGTCTTTGAATCTGTCTGACTCCTTCGCTCTCCATCCATCCATATCTCTCGCTCGCTTGCTCTTGCGCGCGCGGTGAGAAGTTGCAGATATGTGCGTGGGTTGCAAGCATTGTTGTGACTTGAGGACGTATACGTTGTTCAAGAAGGTGGGCGTGGGTTTGAGAGAGTGGGCGTAGGCTGGGAGCGTGGGCGGGTACAATAGGTCTGGGGTAGGCTAATGAGTTCCAGACTGCGACCCCGGATAATTGAGCCAACGGTGGCGGGAAGCGCGGCTGATCTGCCGGAAACTGTCGCCATTGTTGATGGTATTGTCACTCTGCTCTCCCCCTCTCCACGTCACTGCTCCTTTCTCCCCTCTCCACGTCACTTTCTTGTCCCTGTTACCTATCGTACGTTACGGCTCGTGATCCTACAGCAGCCAAACTTTAATAAGTCTAGGGATACGACACAACTGCTGTTCTCAATAGCGAATCACCAGTATAACCCCTTAATAAGTAATGAGCACAAAATAGAATCTTCATAGGACTGAAGAATAAAGACACTAAGTATATATATATAATTATATTAAATAAATCTCAAAGGCAAACAGATGATTATATGGTCACAATATATCACATTAAAAATATCACTGTAACTTCCAGACATTAAATCAATACTAAGAATAATTATATGGCTAGAATAAAAGAATGACTTAACTCCAACAAGTGTTATCTCCCCGGTTTCTGCTCAGCTACTGAACTCTCGCTCTGTCGCCACCCACATTCTCACCTCCCGTCTGCCTCATCCCAGGATGAGGGATGGAAACTAAGGACTTTTTAATATTATAAACTAATTGAACAACCACTTGTTCTCAAAACACATAAGACTGCAAGTTACATATAATAGTTGCTTACAAAATATATAAGTATAATGACACCTGTTTAATTACAGTATATAAAACATTTCCTAACTAAATAAAAGTGACATCTGGAACTCTCAAACTGAACAGGTCCAGCTTTCCCGTATCAATCAAGTAATAGACGTGTGCAGAGACAACCGCGCTCTTGTCCACTGACGCTGCCAAACCACACGACAATTTACCCAAAACACAATGTGTGTACATATACATGCAATGATAAAATAAAATAATATTTATTTTAAATTTATATACGTATTCTGCTAGGAGTACGTAACACTTCCACCTCCAAGAAAAAAAATGCAATAGATTGAAGATCAATGGCATTTTTTCAAAGTAAAATGTATGACACTTGAGATTTATGGTATTAATTACACCAAACATGTATAAGTAATAAGAACACATCTCTGGACAAAAATGAAAACACTCCAAATATAGTCTTACAGGAAACTCAGAAATTTCAGTCTTATGACTATGTTCTACATATGTGTCACTGGAGTATGCAAATTTATCTCTCCAAGGTACTATCTCATTTATTTCACTTTGTTTTAGATCATATTTCACACTCCTATCTACAACAGTATCATTAGTAGCATGAATAGAATTGTCAATAAAGGTAGCTGCTTTCACACAGTTATCATGGCAATTTTGCTTTTCATATGTTTCTACTATTTCTTCAAGATCAGTTTCATTTTTCCATGTGATTCCTTTTCCACATGGTGAATTTTCCCAAGACAGCCTCGATTTTCCATTACTCCCTTTTTCTGGAGCTGAACTGCTTAATTGAAGCAGGCTGTATGTTGAGTTGAGTTGGGACTTCTCCTGGGTATGCTCTGACACAGACATCTGCTCATCACTCTTGATCCTCTGTGGAACACATACTCTCGCCCAATGGATACTAAAATTAGAGAAAGTAGCATTAAACCTCACAATTATGCATAAAACTTTCCCATTCATAGAACCTTCCGAAACACAAGACACCGACTTATCAAACCTTTGACCTTCCAACCAAGAAATACAACCCAAGATAAGTGCAAAGACTACCTGATCGAACTGACTCAGATGATCCATAAGGAACACAGAAATCAATTGCCTCATAACTCTGTCATAACGATCAGTGAAAGAAAACAGGCATATGCCTAGGCACCATATCTCAATCATAACTCTCAAGACAAGTTCACACCCTCTGATGGTGAACTTGAACACAACACACACATTCATCAACCGTCTAGTCTTCCAAGAGACTAAATAAAACATGCCGAAAACTTTACAACCCTCACCATCACTTCCCAAGTGATTTACGTCTGATGACAACCAATCAACCAAGAGGTTTAAGGGTCTTAACATCTTGAAGATGAACAGCAGATTACCTGGAAAACGCCCAAGGACAATCTGAAACCCTTCACAATGATTAACTCTAGGTAGGATAACCTTATCCTCCAACTTGAATTGCACACCTGGAGCCTCAAACATCTGCTCCCCAGTATGATTTAATCCTTCACCCACAATATGATTCTGAAAATCAACTCCAATATGACTCTGAAAGTCAACACCACACTTAAGTGGAACATACACTTTTATCACTCGTGCATCAAAATTAACTGGATCTGAATATAGAGACACTGCTCTAGCATAACTCACCACTTCCTCAGAACTGGATGCACAACCTACTTGAGTAAACTCTCTCTGCTCAACCACAAGGCTTGACAAAGATGTCCCACAGTCCATTACTTCACAAGAAAATGGCTCCTGCAGAATAAAAGTAGATTTCAACATCCTACACACACTCTGACTCAATGTACACAATGAGAAATACTTCCTCCACATAGAATAAGAATCACAACTCCTCAACTTAGATCCAATTGCTGCTTTACCACTCTTAATGATTTTACCAAAATTTCCTCCCATGACTTCTGGAGCTGCTTGGAGTACTGTCTGCTCACAATCAACAATATCACTACCAAGCTGGGTCACATCCTCACAGACAACTGAAGAGGGAGGCTCAATGGGTCTCCATCTACTCAACAGAAGCTGATCCTCTGGCTGCTTTCCCACACTCTCCAAAACTGGATCTACAGTACAGACTGTCTCCTTGCTTCTCTCTGAAATCTTAGGGTCAGTTCTACTCAAAGCACATAAATGAAGGGAATCTGAAGCGAGCGGGCAAGTAACAGGTAGTTTGACCTCCTCCCCTATTATATCACCTTGACTAGGGTGAGGCGGGGCCTCTACAACGGACTTACTCTCGACAACTGATTCTAAACTTGGAGTGAGCGGGAATACTTCTGCCAACCCGACATCTTGTCCTAAACCATTCACTTGGCTG